CAACTACTAATCTCAACTGATGATTTATTACTAAAAATAACTTTTTGCCAATCACCTATATTTTAGTCTGCATAAGCATTATACTAGGTAAGTCGCAATTTAGCTTGTCTTGGAGTCAAACCTAGTTTCTTTATGATCACATGTTTCTATATTCTATTTTTGTATAAGATCCTTCTGGCCATTAGATATAAAACATTAATTGTATTGTTGCTTAATATTTCATAAAGAGATAACTTATTGTAATTAACATTAATTGTTGCATTAAGAAAATTTTGTTTATCTTTATTAGTCAAGATTGATGGTCTTCCTAAATGTGAAGCAGTTTCAATATTTTTTTGTTCTTTAACTAGATCTAAGAATTTAAATACTATAGCACAAATATAGTCTATTGCCTTAGCAATAGAAGCTAAATTAGCTCCAACATTATATATTCCAATTATTTGTCCTTTTTCAAAGTCAGTTAATTAGGTATTCTTAGGCATAGTTAATAATAGCAAAGAATAATTTGATGATAATTGCGAAAAAAATTTTTTCTTTATATATTAATAATAATTAATAATGTGGTTGTATCAAATGATTAATAATTTAATTAACTTATACAATTTGTAATGTATTATACATTTGTATAAAGATTAATGATGTAATATATTGATATATAATGATTAATAATGTAATTAGCAATTTGCATAAATTATGTTAAGTTTTTTTGTATAATAGTGATAAATTTTTAAAGGATAATAACGCACAGGGTATTATTTAGAATAATAGCCTTGAATTAAGCTTAATTTAAACTAAAATTTGTAATTTCACCCTGCATATTATTTTGCGTAAATATGGTAATTGCTAGAAAAGAACAAATAAATTATACTAATTAATCTTATATTACCAGCACTTCATAAACATAACCTGGCAGAAACTCTTTCTGCTTATCATCTGTACACAAAATTTTAGCATAATAATTTTTATGTTCTTCTCAATTTACAAAAACTTTTATTAAGTTAACAACCATTTATCTTTTAAGTAAAATTGTTTAGCTACTATTTTTACATATTTTTTTAAATTTTCAAATCTTTATTTCTTACTGTTCTTGAGATATTTGATTTATTAGAACAGACAGACAAAACATTGTTCTCCTCCAAATCTTTGCTCTTTTTTGCAAACTGGGCTTAAAAAAATACTAATATCCAATAATTAAATTTGCAAAGCTTATCTCTGGCTTCATAACAAGTTATAGTACATTAAATTTAACCTAAAATTGATTATTTTAGAATCAAAAATATCAAAACCTCTTTTTTACTTTTTAAATTCTTAAAAAGTTCTTTTTTAGTTTACCCCATCTAAATTGTTTTTTGTGTAATCTTTGAACCTATATTTCTAATTTGTTTACATCAGACCATACTAGAAATATAATTAATTCTTTTTGGGCAATCCATTTTACAATTAATTT